AGCTGGGCGCCCGGGCCCGGCGCGCCTACCTTCTGCTGCCTGCGGGCCATGTCGGTGGGCTGCTTGGCGTTGAAGGGGTAGGCGATGCAGCGCATCACGAACACGTAGAGCTGCAGCCGCCTCTTCCTCTCCTCCTCCTCCTTCTGCAGCCGCTCCAGCTCTTCCTTCTCCTTCTCGCTCACCACCGACGGGCTGGGGCTGGAGGGCCGCCCGCCGCTGCCCCGGCCCCCGCCTCCCGGGCGGATCAGGTTCCCAAACCCGCCGCCCGGCCTCCCTGACTCGACTAGCACTGGCTGCTCTGCCCGCCTATCAAGCGGGCTTGAGGGGGCTGGGGCCCAAGCGGCTGCCGTGGGCCCGCCGAGTACCGACACACACGACCCAAGAGCCCCCTCTTCTCCCTCCCGGGCCAGTGCGCCCCGGGACGGCGACTGCGGAGACTCGGCCCCTCCCCCCGGACGCCCCGCTGAGGCCAGATGTGGGCGGATGTGGAGGACGGACCGCAGCTTGAAGGCGGGCGCCTAGGGGGGGAACAAGATTCCTCCCCTTCCCGGGGCGCAGGGTTCCTTCGGCGGGACGTTTTATTTACGCAGCGAAAGTTACGCAGCGCCTGCTTTACGCGCTCAGCGCCTGCAAGGGTTAAGGGCGGGTGGCAGCCCCCGCCCGAGGACTATGGTCCCCGGGCACAGGGGTCCTTCTGAGTTCACTATCCTTCGCCTCGAGGGCATCTACCCCTGCGCCCCCAGGGTGACAGCTGCACCCTGTGGGTGGGCGCTGGAGAAGGAGATTTCCCCAAGAAGGGGCATGGGGCCCGGATGGTGAACAAGGTCAGAAGAGCCAGGGACGCGGTTCAACCCTCACCCCAACCCAAGAAAGAGTCTCCGAGCGTGGAGAGTAGACCTCAGCCTCTCCCGAGTAGAAAAAAATAGTCCATAATATCTGGAGGAAGAAATCAGAAGTGGGGAAAAGGAGGGCCGCCTATGGGCTGCCTCCCCGTCGGGCCCACCCACACAGCCTTGTCTTTGTCCAGCCAGCAGGTCCTACAGTTCTCTGGCCACTGCACAGACATGCTCAAACTTCACTGCCCACCGGGGACATAAGAGTGAGTCTGCGGGAGAAGCAACAGGCCCTGGTCCCCAGGATGGGCAGGCAGGGGGAGGGGTGCGGGCAGGTCTGCAGTGCCATCCCCCAGTGCGGTGGCACGTGAGTGTATGAGTCCATCCTGAGGCTGGGTTGGTCACTGGCCACTCCCCTCCCTAGCTGCACCCATGAATGATCCCAGAGGTGCAAGGGATGCTGAGACCAGAGGCAGAGCCCGGGTTTCCTAGCAGAATGCCTGGCTTTTGGGGGTGCTATGTAAATGGCTGGAATGGAATCCTTCCTTTTTAAGAAAAGTGGTCACTCCCTCCTTCATGCTTTGGATATTTTGAACTATTTTCAACCAAGTGAGTTTGTGGACATGGGAACTGAAAAACCACAGCCATTTCAGATGTGCACACACCCTCATCTGCCTTCGAGCCTGGGTTTCAGAAACGGGCCAGCACTACCATTAATAGAATCCCAATGACTTCCAAATCATCTCATGGGTCTGCCTAGTAGTCCAATCCCTGCTGGGTCATCCATCTACCCCCTGTTTGAGGATTGGGGGGTCCAGTCCCTAAGAAACTCAACCCAACAGCGTAGCACCCTGGGAAGATGCCAGTCTCTGGGAAAGCTTCCAACCAGGACCACAGCATTATTCTCCAGTGTTTTTATAAAAAGCACCTGGTGAGTGTAGACACACCCATCCGATTGTTCTTCCCCAGAGCTGGCGTGAAGTTCTACCAGATTAGCACAAGGTCGGCTTATTGTGCAGTATTTGTTCCTGTGCAAGTGGAGCCGAACATACTTAGGCTTATTTCCTGGGGGAACCCAGCCAGGGTGCAGAACTCACCAAAATGCACCCTGTTGGGAATCCAAAGACAATGCAGCAGGGAGCTGATTTCCAAGACCAGAAAATGACTTGGCTCCAGAGCACAAGTCCCACATCCCTATGCCTCTGCCCTCCTTTGCTTTAACCCTTTGGCCCACAACACCATGCTTGAAACTGCCCAGACTCCCCAAGATCCCTCAGGAGAGTCAACCTGGGCATGGCCACACTCCTAGCAGGAGGTTCATACTTGTGTCTAGCCCACTGTTCTAATTGTACATCATTTATTTCCTCTGCTTTGTCCTCAAAGGAGATGGGAAACAGTAAGGTACTTCTCTTCCCATTATAATGCTGTAAACTTAAGGATGACCCAGCTGCCACTTGGCCTCCTCTCTCAGTTTAAACCATCCTCCCCTTAGTCACCACCCCATAAACACACACACACACACACACACACACACACACACACATGTCCTCTGATCACTCTCTTGGCTGGGCCCCATCTGGGGCTCCAGGATTTTCTAAGGCCAGACAGCCATGGAGTGGTGAAGGCCTCCCCTACCCTGTCTCCCAGGGCCTCAGGCTGGACAAACAGCCCTAGCAGGAACACTAGGCAGATTAAGAGGAGCAGCCACCTGGTGAGGAAAATGGGTTTAAAGTTGGCCAGAGAGCCAGGCGTGGTGGCGCACGCCTATAATCCCAGCACTCGGGAGACTGAGGCAGGAGGATTGTTGCGCCGGGGCTAAAAAGTGAGCTCAAGGCCAGCCTGCACTGCACAACGAGACCCTGTCTCAAAAAGTCAAAAATAAATAAATAAATAAATTGGCAGAGAAAAACACGGTAATAGTGCATCTGAACAAAGTCTCCAGAGCAGGTGAGACAGCTGGATACCAAGGGATTGCTGCCCATAAGTGCAGTGCAAGCCCTGTAGTGAGCCGAACAGTGCTGCCCAAAAGACAAGCCCATGGGACCCTCGAAATGAAGTCTGATTGGGAATAAGAGTCCCCACAGGTATAATGAAAGTAAGGATTTCAAGATGAAGTTATACTGGATTAGGGTGGACCCAATGACAAGTGCCCTTAGAAAAGAAGGTGCAAAAAAAAAGCAAAGCAAAGCATATTCCTTTACCATAAAAAGAAAAGAAGGCACAGAGACACAGGGAAAAAGATCACATGAAGTAGGAAGCAGAGCGGGAGTGATGTGCACACAGGCCAAGGATCCCCGGGAGACACCAGAAGCTGGAAGAACCAGAAGGGTCCTTCCCCTCCAATCTTCCAGGGGAGTGTGGCTGGCCCTGCTGACTCCATGGTTTCAGACTTCCAGCCTCCAGAACTGTCAGCACATATGGCCAGTATGAGGCGGTTTTTACAGCAGCCTTGAGACACTAATACAGACCTTGTAAGGGCTGATCACAAAGTACAGTGTGTGGTCAAGTAAAAAAAATTATTACAGTAAAAGCCACATTGCCACTAATGCTTCTCAAAACACTCCCTCTGCTTCAGGGACACTTAGTCCACCATTCTTTATACTTTCTGAAACAGTTCTAGAAGTCTTCTTTCGTGAGTCTTTATTTTATTGATTTATTTATATATCTTTTGTTTGTTTTGTTTTGTTTTGTTTTTGCAGACAGGGTCTCGCTACATAATTCAGGGTGGCCTTGAATTCACTATGTAGCCTAGGCTGTCCTCAAACTCATGACAGTCTTCCCGCCTCAGCCTCCAATGTGCTGGATTACAGGCGTGCGCCACCACACCTGACCTTTCATGAGTCTTTAATTACGCTGTTGTGGCTGCCTTGATGTCCAAGCCAATTTAAAACATTTAACTTTCATGGTCGTTTTGATTTGGGGGAAAGAGCCAGAAGTTGCACAGTGCCACATCTGTGAACAAGGTGGAAGAGAACACACTGTCATGTTTTTATGAGCCTGCCTTTCTATCGAGCGCTGGATGGCACCCACTGTATTTATGATGATGCCTCGTAAAGACTCTCATGAAAGAGGACTTCAGAACAGCCTCAGAAAGTGGCAAGAACAATGGGATAAGTGTGTTTGAAGTCAGGGCAGGGGGGGGTTAATGGCACTGTGTCTTTTACTGTAATAAGTGTTTTTAATTTAAATATTGACCATATGTTTTGGGCCACTCCTTTCAGTCAAGACTTCACATTTCTAAGAAGTCACCTGTGTTCAGTGGTTGATTCTGCCTGACAGATCTCTGTCCTGGTTGTTTGTGTGTGTGTGTTGGGGCGGGGGGGTGCCTCAGACTACAAGTTTAATAGAAAAGCTGGGGCAGAGATAGGTAAGAGGGGTGTAGCAGGAAGCCCAATCTAGGCCTTGCTGGAAAGGGGGTAAAGTGGCCGAGGAGAGAGCCCCCAGGTCCAGCTTGGTGGAGTGAAGCATTTAAAGCATGGGAAAAGAGGGTGGAGGAAAAGCTGGGCGGAAACAGCCGTGTGGCCTGCGCATCAGTACCATGACCCTGGGGTGGACACACAGGTACAGCCCTCTGTGCAGAAACTGAGCTGGCCGGGAGGCAACTGAGCAATGCTTGGAAACAGGGGCCGATGGCTCTGAGCCCACTGCACCTCTGGACAGGACACTGGTCAGGAACAGGATCTGCTTCCTCACAGGCCAAGTCTTCTCCCTGACAGGCCCATCCGGGCCTCTCTGAGGAGCCTCACAGAGCAGCAGAGGCTGAGATCCATCCGCAGCTCGGAGGCCACAGCCCCCCATCTGAGTACAGAGCCCCTGTCCACCTAGCGCCCAGGCTGAATATGTGCAAGTTGCTCTTGCATCCTCTTTCTCTCATCTCCAGCATCCAAGCTGCTGCCTCTCGAGGGTCTGCAGTTCTTCCTCCTCTGGAGTCCGCTGGCCAGTGTTTAAACACTGGGGTCTAAAGGACAGCTCCTGGCACGCAGCTGTGGCCTGGTCCCTCAGGGCAAACACTCCCCACATTCCAGATACCAGAGTGACCTCCACAGCACTGAAGCTGGGTCACGCTGTGCAGTGGCCACCAATACAGAGGTTCCTCACACAAGCGCGACCTCAGCGTACACGCAGGAGGTGTAGCTCTGTGCACAGGAGTGTTTGCCAGGCTGGCCTGAGGCCCGGGGTTTGGTCCCTGACACACATGCAGCACCGTGTTAGATATGGCCAGAAAACTAGGAGTTTTGTGTATTTTTTAAACTTTGTTTTACACATGAGTAATTTATATTATTTAAATGTAATATATCCAGTTTTATAATTATTTTTTCTAATTAAGCAATGCATTTTGCTGTGATAAAATATATACAACAGGAAACGTAACATTTTAAGCACATGTCAATGTCCAATTTGGTGACCTTAAGCGTAGACGCACTTTTGGGGAACCACCCCCTCCACCTGTCTCCTGAATTCCCTTCATCTTCCTACAGTGGAATTCTGTACCCACTGAACAATAACTCCCTGGTCTCCCTTCCCCACAACCCCTGGCAACGCCTATTCTACTTTTCTGTCTCCAAATGTGACTACTCTAGAAGCTTCACCTAACTATTGTTCTTTTGTGACTGGCTTATTGCCCTGAGCATAATGTCCTTAAGGTTTACCTATGCTGTAGCAAGTGTCATAATTTCCTTCTTCT